GTAACCAACCCTTACTTTGAAACCAGCCTGTTGCCCTGATGAGGTGTACCAGACAGATTAAATTGGGCTCCGAATCTGAGCTACTGCATTACCAAGAGTTACTAAAGAGTTTTAGAAGTGCAGTTCAGGACCTGTGACAAGTGAAAATGTCATCAGTCTTTTCTGCCCAGAAAAAGTGAAAGCAGAATATTCTATTGTGAGAGAAAGCCATGAGGTTAATAGATCTAATTTCCATCTATTTTCCAGCAGTGTTCTGATTAGTGCTTTTGTCTGTGCTCCATTCAACTTTTTTCTGACTTTGGGCTGCTGTATTAAACCATTTTGTCATATGGGAGGACTGGGGCAAAAAACCACATTCATACAAGCTGCTTTTTAAATTTTAATTAACTTAAGCTGTCAATGCCATTAGAAATAGTATTTTACTTATTATTCCTTAGTTTCATAAGGAAAATATGGTTAAAGATGAATAAAAAAAGATGCACTGAGAAAAACCTTATGGCAGATATGCAGCAGTGTTGGTGCAACATGGTGTCATTAAAAGTGGAAGAAATTCTGCTCTACAGTTTTCCTATGCTCACATTTTATAGACTCTGGTATTTTATACTCCCTTGCTTGTTCCGCCCCATTTTTACCACGAGTTCTTTTGCATATACTGTTTTGGCTTTGTTTTCCCTGAATAGTGCTTTATGTGTCTCTAAAGGTTCAGAAGAGATTCTCAGTGTTTTGTTCTGGGCCTCTGGTGTCCCTGTGGTGTCACCCTGTGCCTGTACTCAAGGTCTCAGCCATCAGCCCATGCTGGTGTTCCCTGCTACAGCTGCAATGGGTGTGATCCAGGGCCTTGGAAATGTCTCATTCTGCACACTTGACACTTGTGCCTTTCCAGTTATTCTTCCTTCAAAGTCCATCTGCAATGCACATAATTTTTTTAGAAATGAGCATGTTCTACTCTCAAAAAAGACAAATCCCTTCTCCAGAAGGCCATGGCTGGCCTATGATCCAGCCATCTATTTGGCCAAATATTGAGCTAAAATATTTTGTACATTATGACCAAGCATATGAAACTTTTTTACTGTTAACTACACTAGTAAAAGTTTCTATGAATGAGAAGTTCAGGGCAGATATTATTTTCTTTTTTCCAACAGATGATTTTTCATACTGAATAAGTGCATCCTGATGCCTGTTTCTGACGGTTTAACTTCTAATTAATTTTTAATTTTTAATTTTTTTTTTTTTAATTTACCCTGCTGTCAGGGTAGGACATGCAATTTGCTGAGTATGTATGATACATAAATTAATTTTTTCATACTGTGAATAAGTTTTTTTGAGTTCAAGAAAGGATTGCAATAGACACGTGACTAATACATTTTCAAGGAAAAGCAATTCCTGAAACTGTGGTTAGGTTCTATTCTTCTCTTGTATGGAAAGACTGAAATTTTTCTGAATTCTGCTGAGATGCATATTTATTTGCACATTTAGCTAGATGAGGCTAGTGGAAAATGGAGGATAAAAGGTGTTGCTATATAGCTTGTCACAACTTCATGAAGTGAGAAAAAAGAATGCAAGAACTTCTATTTCAATTTTTTATTTTCTTATTATTTTGAAAGTAATGGTTAATTGCTCTAAAATAAAAATAGTTCTTTCTATTCTGACACACAGAGATTAAATGAGCACTTCATGCAAATTGCACGCTTCATGCAAATTGCGCACAGGCACAAGAAAATAGCTGTACTTATTCTTAGATTTTAGCAGCATATCTGCCTGCTTAGAGATAAGGGAAAAAGTAGTCAAAGTGAAAGTTGTTAACTGCCTTTGCATGAGATCATTCCTGTAGTTGAACCAGAACCCCCAAATTTTAGTGCTCTCTTTTCATCAATCTTTCTCCTTACTTCTTAACCCAGCTTTATTATCTGCCTACCAAAGGTCTGGATGTATGAGAGAAACAGAAATAATTGCCATTTCTAGACAGACCTTTAAAAATATTTCTTTATATTTTAATAGATAAATGCTCTTTTTCACCATGATCTTAAAAACTGAAATTAAATGTGATACTCTGGAAAAAAAGACTGAATTCTAAGCTGCTAGCGTAGTTACTGAGTAATGTGCTGAGAACACAGTCGCATACCTAAAACTGTCTGGTTCCCCACTTCATTTGTTATGAAAATTATTTTTCTGTTGTAGCTGAAATATTTGAAGAAAAACTTGCCCTAGGATATAAATTTTGTACCTTCATAGGTCTGTTCTGACTCTTTTTCAGGTTTGGAGAGGTAAGAGGTCAGATCTTGTTTCATATTTCAGCTTTCAAACATTCTTTTTTCCCCTCTAAGCTTTAGCAGAAAAATCTTCCATAGTTCTGTCTTCATAGCAAGTCAAAAAAACAGGGCCAGATTTCTCCTTCTGCTTTTGAGTTTTTCCACAGCATGCTTCCAGATTATTGCAATGTATTATCACTTTCGATAGAAATGAGTTCAAGTTTGGGTCATATGTTCTTTCAATAAGACATGAAAAAATTGTTAATAGAACATGCTGGGAGAAAGTTTTTGTTAGTGTCTGTGCATATTTCATTGCTAACCTTTTTCACTCTGCTGCTTTTCCAAAAAAAGTGAAGTAAATATTTTTCTTTCAAGTGCTGTATTTAAAAGAAATAATTTTTGCAGACCCATGCATTTCAAAATTGCTAGGATAAGTCATGTTAGGCAATATGATTAATTCCAGTGTTGTATAAAACTTTGGATCAAAATTAATCAAATTCATGAAAACGTCCTTCATTGGTTTGTATTTTCTGATAGAAAGAAAGAGTAAGCATTTGAACATTTCAAATAGATCATATACATTGAAGCCTAAGCTGCATAATTCAACAGGTCTTGCCTTTTTATTAATATCATTATTTTAAAAGTTGCTGGTTTTGATTTCTAATTACAAGAAAATGCAAGTACTTGGATTCACTATACATTATATGTTTCTATATCTATATTTGAGATTTACATAGATGTGTAAGGCAAGGATCTTCATCTTTTAATAATCGTTTTATTCTTGTTTGAGATACTGGTAAAACCTAGAACTCTTAATATCATTATATAAAATATTCCATTCCAATCTTGTCAAACACTGGTGACATCCTTTTCTTCTTTCTTAAGGAATCAGTGCCTATTAACATCTTGTATGTGTGAATCAATGCCTGCTAACTTCTCGTATGCGTGGTCCTCGCCCCACCCCAACCCCCTCCTCCTTGGAGCTGCTCTGTGACCTCAGGAGCTCCTGGCAAGGCTTGACTGAAGGAGCTGAACGTGAACTGCCCCTTTACCACACCAGCTGTGTGGTGAAATATCCCCTGACCATATCAGGGTAAAGGTGGAAACAGTTCTAACCATACCAGGAATATCAGCTGCCTGACCAAAGTGGAGAATGAAGGGTTAGCAATTATACCTCTTAGCCATGGCAAATTATTCCCCTGAATCATAGCCTGAGTGAAAGGGTGCCATCATTATGAAGCCTTTTGAAAAGGTCTGAAACTGCCCTACACACACATACTCCTCGATGTGCAACCTTTGCCTGGTGAGAAATGCTAAGGGTTTCATGTGAGTATTCCACTGAACCCAATGGGAATTTTTGATAGATACTTTTACACACAGAAATAGAGATGTATCTTGCTGCCTGGGTGCATGCATGTGAATTGATAACAGCATGAATTTCATTGTTACAATTCTAGCAAATCCTATTGAATAATTTTATAAATGTTAAATTAGTTAATGATTAAGTGCTGCCAACCCCTTTTGCACCTTTCTCTTTTCGTACTTTTATCCTTTACTACCTTACCCTTTTGCATCTCTGCCATCCCTGTAAATCATCTGAAATTGATTCTACTTCAATTTTCCTGTGTATGCTTCATCTATGAAGTAAGTAAATGAGTGAAATTTGCCACTGAACTATGTTAAGTTGCACTTTCACAAATTTATATTAAAACCAACTTTTTCAATATGTTTGAAAGTGATTCTTTAAGCTGTCCAAACCACTGATTCATGATAAACTGTCAAGATTTCTTGAGAAGGGATAGGGGCTGCTAATGCTAGGAACTAACAGGGAAACAGCCACGAAAATCCTAGAGGGAATTAGGGCATGTTCCCCTGTAAGGGTGACACAGTCAATATCCCAGCTGAAGTGCCTCCACACCAATGCCCACTTCATGGGTAGGAAGCAGGAAGAGCTGGACATTATGACCTAATTGCTGTTGTTCACACATGGTGGAACAAAATGCACCACTATTGCATCTGCTGAAAATGTGGCACAGCAAACCGTAAGCTCTTCAGGAAAACCTTGGAGGTAGCCAAGAATATTTTTTTATTCTGACCAAAAGAGAAGTGTTACTAGGCTTATTGCTCACCAACACAGAATAACTAATTAGGGATGTCAACATTGGTGGCAGCCTGGGCTGTAGTCATGATATCCTGGTGGAATTCAGGGTCTTGAGGGACATGGACTGTGTGAAGAGTGGAGTCAGTATGCTGTATTTTAGGAAAGCAAACTTTCTGCTGTTTAAGGCAGCAATGGATGAGACCCCCTAGAAAATGGTCCTCAGGGACAATGAAGCTGAAGATAGCTGTCAGCTCTTTAAGGATATTTTTCTTAGAGCACAGATGCTCTCAATTCCCACATGTATTAATTTGGACAAGGAAAGCCCAAGAAAATCATGGCTCACGGAGGACCTCCTGGTCAAAGTGAAGAATAAGAAGAAAATGCTCAGACAGAGGAACCAGGAATGTGTCCCTGGGGAAGAATATAGGAACACTATTTAGCTGTGTGGGGATTTGGTTAAGAAAGATAAAGCACAGTTGGAGAAGAGAAGGCTCCAAGGAGAGCTTATGATTTTCATTATATAAAAAGGATCTTATGAAAAAGATGGAGAAAGATTTCATATAAAGAAGGAATTATTTACTGTGAGGGTAATGAGGCACTGGAATGAGGATTCCCATTCCATTTCATCTGGAAGTGTTTCCCTGTCTCTGGAAATGTTCATGGCCTGGTTGGATGGGGCATTGAGAAACCTGGTCTGGTAGAAGGTGTCCCTGTCCATGGCAGGGGTGCTGTAACTAGATGGTCTTTAAGATCCGTTCCAACTGAAACCATTTTTTGATTCTATAATTAATTTGTCCTCATACATTTTTAGCAGTTGATTCAGACAGTTTCAGGAGAAGAAGAGCAGAGAGGAAGAAGAGCTGAGAAAGGTTTGTGTTACATATCTCCTGAGAAAGGACATTGTACTTTAAGAGATTCATGGTTTCACAAGAAAATTTTTTGTGTCTTTATGCCCATAAGTCTAACACCTCAGGTCAAACATTGGCACAAAAATAAATTTCTTTGTGGTCCTTTTAAATTTGTGGTAAGAACTCAAGTTGATTTTTATGTGGTTTAGAGTTTGGTAATGGAAATTATATAACAGAGTTGCTGTCACCTTGACCTGTTTTCTAAATCTCCTGTGGAAATCTGTAAAATTATACATACGCCTACACAAAAGCTAATAGCATAGGGTAGGCAGAGAACATTATTGTGTTTCATTTCAAACAGACTTCTTGAGGACATTTGAAAAAATTAACTGTTTAAAACATTTGAGTCTTTTTTTTTTCTTTTTTGAGTCTTTTTTGATTTATTCACTTGTTTTACCATCCACTAAATAACCACTTATATTCAGAAAGTATAAAAATCCTGATATGATAAATTGATTTCAATCTCTTTTTTGCAGGTGGCAAAAAAGTGATATAATTGACAAAATTTATATGAAACAGAGAGAGAGAAAAGTGAAGTTATATTATGAGAAAGGAAGAAATGAGCATTATTAAGAATTTCTTCTATATTATTAAAATGGAAAGGTAAGTAGAAAAACATGTAGGCATAAAACATATATTCTGACATTTGTCATAAATTATTGTTATTGTAAAATATTAAGATGGGCCACTAAGCTAAAAAATGAAACTGCCGTTTAGAAAAAAATCACCATTTCTTAAGCATATCTCACAAAAAAATATTTGTATGAAATATCTGCATCATACTTTCTGAATTTTTGGCAGATATATACATCATGGCTCAGCAGTTGCTCATGGCTTGGGCTGACTTTTTAATGGCAGTACAAAATGTACCAGATTCAACATCCTTGTAATGATGGGAATTCTTTTTGTAGAGTGATGGCTGAGCTGCTAAATTATTTATTCAATTGAGAAGGAGGGAGAAATTTGTTCTTGGGGCTTAAAAAATATTTATGAAGCAGTGTAAAAATGTTCTGGACAAACAAACAAAAAGCCCCAACAAACAAACAAACAAACAACCCCCCCCAAAAAAAAACAAAAACAACAACAAAACCCAAAAACAGAAACAAACACACAAACAAAACAAAACAAAAAAACATAAAATCCCCCCAAAAACGAACCAACTGTTTTTTCCTTTGGCAGGTGAAAAGAAAAAAAAAAAAGGCTCATTGTGGTATTATATTTCTGGCAAGTTGGTAGTGTGTTACGTCGTTCATGCAGTCTTTGATGTCTAAAATTAGCCTGTTGCCAGTACTCTTTCATATGAATTTTTTCAGCATGTTTTCCATATGTGTTATCCATTGCTCTTCTTCCTTTAGATGCTCAGGGGTACTGGAGGATTTGAAAATTTATGTCCACCTCTTAGTCCAAGATCAGGTGTGCAACTCTGCAAATCTAGTAACTGCAAGTAAAGTCAATTTTGGTTCATCAGTGAAGAAAGTAGATTTCTCAGTGCCTGTAACATAGGTAGCTTGGAGTTAAGATATTTAGAATTAGGAGGCAGTAGAAGAGACCATCCTGCCTGGAACATTCGACTGTTCTTTATCTGTCACTGACTAATCACCATTTTCAGTCATTGCCAAATTTTAAAAATCATTATAAAATGAAAATCTTCTTGGTAGAATCAATCACTGAATGTGTTAAATTTATTTCCATTAAAGAACCTAAAAAATAAAAGAGGAAAGGGAAAGATTTCTGAAGACTTTGTGGAATCTCATCCCCCTGTTATGCAACTTAAAACATGCCCAAATATATGGCAAGGCACGGGGCTTCAAAGTATTCCTGTGTTATCCCTCAATTCCATTTTCTCCCTGCCTTAAAGATTGAGACCAGTATTGGATTTCATAAGATAAGAAAATCAGATACAAAAACATTAAAATTAATAGATGTAGGACAGCCTTAAAGGAGCAATGTATAATTTTTGTTTTCATGGAATATCTCGTGCTACATGGCTGCAAATGTCTCTGTAGCACCAGCATTTCCACAATGCAGAAACTTGGCTTCTTCCTCTGGATCCTTTATCAGATTTTAGGTACCCATTGATTTCTATCTATGTGTGCTAGGAAAGTCAAACCAAACCAGACAGATGGATTACATGTTTATAAACTTTCATCCATTTAGACTAAAAAGGTTTAAATTTCAGTTCCTCATCTCCTGTTAATTGAGTTATTTCCTCAAGCATACAAAATTTTACCTACAAACTAATTTCATAAATTTTTACCCTGAGGTGAAATACAAATAGACAAATAGAATTAAATGTTTAAGAGTTAATTTCCTTGAAATAAAAGTATTTAGAGCTGTATTTTTGTGGCAGATACTTCAAGGAAGATCCCTGAATCCCTGAAGGAACTGCAAAATTTTTTTTTTTTTTTTTTTTTTTTTTTCCCAGACAGAGATTAATTTTCAGGTCCAGCCATAGGAATTCCTTCTCTATGCAATCAGACATTGGTATTAGACAATGAATAACAGTGATTATATTTTATTTTCTTTGCTTTTATTTTAGTCCCCCTACATTATCATTCATTTAAAAACAACAGAAAGCAAAACACAAAACAACAGCAAAAAAGAAATTCCATTTATGACACCTGAGTTTACCATTTTGAGACAATGATTTCTAGAAATCCTTTGCGAACTTTGAAATTCACCATGACATTTTACCCTTCACATGATCCTTTTTCAAAATTAATACATATATGGCTTTAATTTTTTTTTGTTTTAAATTGTAATATCTACACTAACCGCTAGTTTTGTATGTATTTATTGAAACAGCAGTAAGTGGGAGAGTTGGTAAAAACGCATATACAGGAAAATGTTTCAAATCTGGAATTGAGAAAACTCCTTAAGATTGTAATCTGAAGATTTCGTGCAGCAGTTCTTTATTGCCTGACTTGCTCAGCTTGGTCACACCTTCATGATATATACCAGTAATGCAGCTCTCCTCACATACATGGTTTTCTCTTATATAGGCTCAGTCAATGCTGCATATTAGGAGAAGCAATACAGTTACCTAGCCATGTCTTTAAGCAAGAAAACATCTGGAGTTTAAATCTTCAGTAACAGGAATCAAAAATTTGCCTTTGAAGTGTTGGCTTGTGGATAAGGGGGGGAGAGATTGAAAGCAGTTGTATCTTTTTTAAAATTGTAAAATAAGTTTGTAAAGGAGAACATATTCTAAATGTAGATTTGATTAAGTTTTTTCTTTATTCAATTAAACAAATATATTGCTTTTCACTAGGTCTAGTGTTTGCCTATTTTGAAAAGACATTTAAATAACTAGGAGGCATTTTCCAATGCCAGTTAACAAGACAAAGCAATATACATTTTTCTTTTTCTTGGGTGGCATTTCTAATCAGTTTATGAATCATCCTGTGAAATCCTGGGAGGCCCAAGATATCACCAAGTACATATCTTTAAGGAAACTATGTTTTTATGACCATATACCAAAGCAGGAACTGGACATTGGTAAAATAAATTTTGTTGAAAGAGCATGTAATTTTAAAAATTATTATTTTATTTCTGGCTAAATTCCTCTTTACCAGTGTTCAGCTTTAATAGGTGACATTAACAACCGTGAATTTTGTTTTTCCATGAAAAAAATCAAACTTATATATTGCTTCTTATAAGGCTCTCTTAAGTAGTTCAGAATTTCAAACTTTATTATGTTGATTAATTTGAGGATAACCACCCTTATAAGATTGAATAGTCATTAGAGGAACAGGATGGGTAAGAGAAATTGTCAAACTATTTTAAACCTTTTGAAACTTGAGCTCTTATTTTCCAAAAATGTAACGAAAAAATGAAAGAATTAGGTGTATGCATAGCTTAAATCCTAGCTTTGTACATCCCTGAGCTTCTGTAATGGTATCCATAAAGTTCAAATATAAACTAAAAACTTGTAAATTGTTTGTGTGTAGTATGAGATGGATTAAGAAGATGTTGCTTTCAGGACAGAAAAAATCCCAAACCCAAACAAGTCTGATTTACAAAATACTAAAATAATTAGAATCAATGGATTTGCATTTATACTAATTCAAAACTGAAGCTTTTTAAAATTTCTCTTCCATAAAACATTCTACATCAAAAAGTCATAAAAAAATGGAATTTGTTTCAGCTGAAGTGGAATTCAGGAGAGAAAAGCTCTTCTGATATACTCTAGTTTTAAGTAGTGGTTTTAGCTAACCTAACATTTAAAGGTTAATGTTTAGCTAGGTAACCTAGCTAAAGATTACAGGAAAGTAGGAGTAAGAGGAAATATAGGCTATTAAAGTATTATAAAAAACCAGCAGGCAGCATTAAAAAAGCATTATAAAAAAACCAGCAGGCAGCATTTAAAAAAGTATAGTAGATAATTGGCTTGCCTTCAGTAGTAACAGTACAATAGGCAAATTTATTTCTCAACAGAAATCAAATGCAAGTATGAATAGTGGTGTCAGGTTGTGGATAGGAATTATATCAATCATTTAAAATTCAGTATTCTCATGCTTATGCTTATTTTTAGTCCTTTATTCGTGTGAAGGTAGACAAGCTGAAATACTGTGTTTTAAATTTAAGAATATCAATATGTTCTACCTTATATTTGTGAGTCACTTTCAGTTTAATGTTCTTCAGCTAGCAAAATCGTTCAACTGCAATATGTATTCTAAAAAATGTGGGATTTATTTTTAAATAATTTTTTAATACTAATCTACAGATTTGCTTGGCCACGGAGTGGCTGAATTCTTTCTTCTGGCTATGTTACTGTACTAGATTAAAGTCCAGCGGGAAAATTAAAAACAATTGTGACACCCTATTCCACTTTCAGCCCATCATTCTCCTGCTGAAACCTCGCCCTTGCCAGTATGTGAGGGTATGGAATTAAACAGTGGTAGAAACTCCACCCCTTTTCTCTCTGACAACAATAGTTACCTTCATATTTCTACTATGCCTGCACTTACCCCTTTTCTGTAAGACAGAAACAGGTTTCTTGCTGCATTCCATTAAATAAAAAAAAAAAAAACTTGTGTGTGACATACATATTTTCTGTTATTCCAGCAGTTTTGAGAATGGAAAACAGAGGCAGGCTGTGCTCTGTATGAATTGACTAGGTTTTGGTTTAACACAAACACAGCTGCACAGCCCCTAGGCCACCCATTCCTGTGGGAACTGAATCCCTGGTGACCTTGGCTTTGAGCCCTAAAGGCTGCTGCCTGCTTTCTAGGGCACTGCTGAGAGCAGAGTGGGATTATGAATGTAAAATTATGGTAATTTACACATATGCTCAGATGATCCCAAGGAATCCTCTTTGGAAGTTTATCTGTCACAGAGATATTACCATGTAAACAATACACTTATTTGTATAAGATTTACTCTCATGCCTTGCTTGAAGTGCTCTGTCTTGAAGAGAATCTCTGTTCCTGAAGAGAATCTCTGTTCTCTGCTGCAGAGAATGAGAGTAATTGCTCTGGAAGATGTTGCAAAAATACATTTTGTTGCCTTTATCCCAAATGTCCAAACTCTACCGGCCCAGTTTATTGGCTAGTATTGCATTCCCTGGTAAATAAAAGCTGCAATTATTACAACCGTAAGACTTCTCTGAGAGTCTTTTTCTTTGATGACAGATCATATTCAGGACAATTTTTTATTTTCTAAAACTCGAGGGTGAAGGGTGAGATGGCGATTTTTCAAACCTAGAAGCAAAAGAAAATATAAAGGTCAAAACCCCAGAACTTCAGCTGACGCTTCATAAGCAATGTTTAGATTTGTCAGAATGCAGAATTAGCCATTTTTCCTTTTTCAATGAACAGCTCTTTGTTTAATACATTATTAAGGGGTGTGAGTTATCAAGTAGGGTATGATTTATCAAGTTTTGTATATTTTTATTCCCTTACCTGAATGAAAATCTGTTACATTTAGAAGACTTCTCTAACCTCTACTCTATAATTTATAGGATTCTCTTTGTCTGTGCTGTTGGCTTAACTTGAAAGTTTTCTGAAATTATGTTTGTACAAATGAATTTTATCCTACTGTTTATCATACTCTCCTGACCATTCTTTCCTGATTCAAGAGCTTGCATTGATTTAAGCAGTGAGCAGAGATGTAATACTTTAACTCCTCACACAGAGAACAATTTGCAAGCTGAACTTTAGTTCATTCTATATGGCAGGAGCCACACAGCTCTCATTTCAGCAATGCAAAACTTACACTTCCCGTTTCTACTCTCTATATTTCTATCCAACTTGACGCTTTATATTTTACCTCATATTTTTTTCCTCAGAATTTCTCTTTCAAGCAGTCTCTCTAGAAGTTACTCTATTGTTTCCTATGGTTTTGGCAGCTGTACCTTTTGCCCTACCCCATCTGTCTCCTCCCAGATGCTCACTTCTACACACTTCTGGGTGTAGGTATTTTTAAAAATAAATACAAAATTAAATATCTTTGCCAATTTTTCTAATGATGATCCTGGCCCCATCTGCCCTGCTGTTCTCACCAAATACCCAACCCTATCCTGTTTCTTATTTTTTGAGCTGTCTCTGATGATAAACTAAGAACTCCATTTTGTAGTGGATACCCACTTTGCAGAATTTTAAAAATCTGTTTTCTTTTTGGTATCAACATAAATAGGCAAAAGCTAAGAGAACTCGTTCTTTCTCTCAATGATTCAGCATCATGGGGGAAATGATGGTTAAAATACCTGAAACAAAAGGGAAGCAAAAGAGTGGAGTTTCTGTGCTTTTCCCAAAATATTGATTGCTGCCTGACATCAGTTCATTGGCTTACATGTGTGCAGTGAGCAGGAAACCTGGCTTTGCAATCCAGCACACCAAGCTGTACATTTATAATCATCTAGCTACTCAAAAGCATAAGAAGTAAAAATTAATCCTGGAAGACTGAGTTCCTACTCTTATTTTGTAGGTTTTAGAACATGATGTGGACTGCAATACTCTGTTTAGACAGCTCTTCAAGTCCAAAAATGAAAGAACACTTTGTAAAATATTTCTTTATATAGTGAAGTATTTATAGATGAGGTACACTCATAAATAAAACCTCCCTCAAAAAACCCATTGATTAAATCTACCACAGTACTTACTAACCCTCAGACTGATATTGGATAATAATAGCAAACCAGTATAGAATTTCTGTATAAAACAGATGCCAAGACAAGATGCAGTGGATAATTGTGATTTAATAAAAATCGGAAATTTACCAAATTCTAAACCAATTTAGATTTTTGTTTGTTTGTTTGTTTGTTTGTTTGTTTGTTTGTTTGTTTTTTAACGTGCCTTGTGTTAAGGATAATAGAAGTTGTTTATCAAGTGAAACTGTCAAAAAAAGCGCCAAATAGATCTCCTCATTTGTTGATTTTATAAAAAAATTATAAGAAATGCAGTAATGATAAATTACTGTAATTTACTGTAATAAAATACTGTAATGATAAATTACAGTAATGAGAAATGGTAATTTCATTAACAAAGTGCAATGCGTACACGAAATAATGTTTCATAGAATCAGAGTCATTGAATATCCTGACCTGGAAGGGACTTCGGTATCATCAAAATCCAACTTTTGGCCATGCACAGGACAGCCCAGGAATCACACCATGTGCTTGAGAGCTTTGTTCAAACACTTTTTGAGCTCTGTCAGGCTGGTGCTGTGACCACTTCCCTGGGGAGCCTGTTCCAATGCCCAATCACCCTCTGGGTGAAAAAACTTTTTCTAATATCCAACCTAAACCTCTCCTGATAGAACCTCAGGCCACTCCCTGGAGTCCTGTCACTGGTCACCACAGAGCAGAGATCCGTGTCTGCCCCTCCTCTTTTAGTCATGAGGAAGCTGTGACTGCAATGGGGTCTCGCCTCAGTCTTCTCCAGTCTGAGCAGATCAAGTGACCTCAGCCATTCATACAATTCCTCACCGGAATCTTGCCATCTTTATTGCCCTCCTTTGGGCCTTCTAATAGCTTTATATTTTGCTCATTTTGCATTGCCCAAACCTGCTCCCACCACTCGAGGTGAGGCTGCTCCAGCTCAGAGCAGAGCAGGACAATCCCCTCCCTTGCCTGGCTGTGTTGCTGTGCCTGATGCCCCCAGGACAGGGTTGGCCCTCCTGGCTGCCAGGACACAATGACTCGTGTTCAGCTTGCCATCAACCAGGACTCCCAGGTCCCTTTCCTTTGCTGATCTCCCAACTCTTGTTTCCCAGCCTGTCTGTTCATCCTGGGTTGCCTCATCCCAGGTGTGGCATCCAGCACCTGGTTAAACTTCATACACAGGGTGATTGCCCAGGCCTCTTTATCAAGGTCTCTCTGCAGGACCTCTCTGCCTTTGAGAGAGTGAACAGCTCCTCCCAATTCAGTATCAAGGACAAACTTACTATACTGAGTACAATATAACATACAGTAGGACTAGTAGTACTAAGTCATGAACTATTTGTAAATATTTAAGAAAGAGAAACACAAAATAAGACTTTTCTTTTACTGTTCTGATCTGAGCATATATATGTCTTAAAAATCCAACTCTTTCCCTGAAAACCGGTTTCTTAGAGTGGCAAAAGAAGGGAGGAGCTGTGAAGCTGTGAAGACAGAAATCGTCTAGATGCACAGTCGTGCTTGTTCCTTCTTTTTCTAGTGCAATAAGGTTTCAAAAGTTGAGAGCAGCAATTATCTTTACTTCAGACTAGGGACATGATTAGCTAATTAGATATGGTTTTAGACACATTTTAATATTTTTTCTCTTTTTCTTAGGAATAGTAAAGTTTTACTTTTGTAATTGTCTTGGGAAATATTTGGAAATGTGTTGATTTAAGTAATTTAAAATACCTTTGAGTCTCAAAACAAGTAAAACATAAATTTTACTCTCTTTTTCATTCAGCAGGACATACTTCTAGTAAAGCTTCTGTTGCTCCTCTGACTGGCACACTTGGGTAAATTCAGAGAATCATACTATCAATCAAAGACTGGAAAGGTTGATAGTAACACAAAAGACTGTTATGATCTAAAAGTGAAATGAAAATGCATTTAATTTTTACATATAAGAGAGATTTTGTGAGAACAATGACATTTTATGCACTAGTTTTCTGTCTCTAACAGATTATCATAGTAGACAACAGTTGGCATATCTTTGTTTTTTGTGTTGTTAGATCTCATGAGAATAGCAATAAAGAAAGTTGCTCTAATGGCTATTTATATTAATATATGGGTACTGGATTTCTGCCAAGCAAACTTTTTCACTTATATGTCTAATTACGAGAGGGGTTTTTTGTTGTTGTTTTCTCAGTCATTCCAGCATCCACTCTAGAATACTAATCCTTACTGTTAGCTACCTAATGCTGAATGTCATACACATATTTGACAAACAAACAAGATTTAATATCATCAGTGTAATGATGCAAGCAGTTTTCTCCTTTATGAAGGGTAGGTAGAGGCATTGTGCCTTGATGGCACTACTAGATAGAAATATTATTTGATGTCAGAAATCTTAAAAATGTATAAAATTATAACTTCCTCACCACCATTAATGTTTTGTCAACACCTTATATTGTCTTAAAGACTGAACTTTGTTGCAACTATAATAAATTACATGTCACTACATATTAGCATTTTCTCTTGAGTCCAAGGTCTTTGGTAAAAATTCATAACGACACTCCTTAAGATATTAATAAACAGATCAGAATCAGTATTTCACAGAGCTGGAACTGACTGTCTCTATCTATATTATTTCTCCCCAGCCCAGAAATTGAACTTCTGAACAATTTTCAGCTACCAGGCCAGGGCCAGCTGTGTCAGGTTTAGTCCTGAGCAGGATGCTGGTGCCAGATTTCTCACATATGATAACCTGCCAATCAATTCCCACAGCAGCAGTGGAGGGTATTCTGAAAGAATAGGGCTGCAAGCCAAGCTGTCATAAGAGGTTAAGACAAATAGATTTGGAGAAATAAGCATGTCATAAAAGGGATGCTAAACAAGGCTGAGGGTATTGCTTGGAATTTTAATGTCCACAGATCCAAACGAGTTCCGTCTGCTATGCTGGTGATGAGCTTACAAGATATCAGAGTCCCATGATTTGGAAGTGATGTTTTGATGCCAACATTCATTAAAATATGCCCTTATGAAAAATTTCCTATTTTGTACGTAAAATGAATGTGCTACAGATTGCATGCAGCATAGTAATATTGAAGTAAAACATCTTTGTGTTAGTCTCCTGATAAAATGTACTTGCATGGCTCAGTTTAAACAAAGAATGATACCATGTTAATGAAATATAGACCTATGAAATAGCATATTATCTTACTTTTAGAAGCACTTTTCCTTCCTCATAGTTTTGATGTGACTATTTCATTCACTAGTTTAGGTAGTGAAATTACTGCCTGATCTCTAAAACAAATTTTTCAGCTACTTTTTGTGAGAATCACATGTAGTAGCGTTAATTTATGGTTCTATTCTAGGAGTCACATAAACCTCTGTAGCAGCAAAACAAATTTAGAAAAAGGGTCACCTGTAAGGAAGCAGACTGGTATGGACTGGAATAGAAAGGGTACCAACTTCCTTGTCAATGCTTGACACTTACAGCTTGGGAGAAGCCTACAGGAAAAATCAAAATGGTCTGATCACTGATCATTCTCATTTCTAAAAAGTTCTTGTATCCAATTGGAATCTCCAGGAGTGAGTTGTCATTTGTTATTTGTAGCAGTTATCATAATATTATACAATTTACAATCCTAGATAGCAAATTATTCACTAAATTATTTAAGAAATACAGATATTTTTCCTCACTAAATTATTTAAGAAATACAGATATTTTTCCTTAGTGATAAGAAATTCAGAAAGGATTATTCATTTATTTGAATGTTAATTTCCAGTTATTTTAAAATGATTGATCCACTATCCTTCAATGATAATCCAAGGAGTATCCACATACTATGAATATTGAACTAATTAATATATGAACAATAAACAAGTCTAACTTCTGTCCTAGAACTTGCATGACTGTAGATCAGCCTGAAATAATTAATGCAGTGTTAATTCTGCACCTGACCTGCCAACCTATTTTCTTGGAAATTCTTGTAATGCATAGAATTCTTTATGTTTAGAGAGTAGAAATTTCACTTTTTATGTATCAGTTGAATTTGCCTTATGAATGTTAATACAAGTCTCCAAAATTATCACAAAATCCCTCCAATGCTTCACATCAACTACCTTTATCTTTTTATCCTTTTATGCTGTCTTTTGAAAGAAATATTTTAAACTATGTTTTTTGGTTCCCAAATCTTTAGGCCATCTCTTTTTAGATATAGATGAAATCTGAGAGGAACAGAGAGGTATAAACTAGAAATACATGAGAGAAAACTATAGACAAATGATAGAAATTGCTTTTTTTCAGGAAGAGAAGGACAGTGTGAAATTACTTTTCTGAGAATGGCACTCCCTGCTTTATACAGAGGAAAATGAATGTATTTCACTTTCAGTGATGAAAGGTTATTTAACAGCAAATCTTATTCTTGGATATCATCATAAACCCTGAACGCCTGGTGTATATTCAATTTGGGAACTACAATTAATGTTGATAATATTTCCTATTAAAAAAAATAAGTATCTCAATATGTTTAAGATCTTTAACCAAAAGAAAGACCTCAGGAATGAAAGTGGTGACTGGTTTGTTGGCCAGAATTTTCATATTAAATTTAATTACAGATTCAAATTTTTAAAATCCATATCACCAGATAGTCACATAGAGCAACAGCACCAGTTAGCAACTGACCCCTATGATAAAATCATGTCTCTTCAATATTCCTGTCCGTTGATTATAGAGGTTGCTTTGCTTACTACAAAAAGAAATAGAAGAGTCTGGATTTATGATTGTATTTTCTAACAAGTATTTCATCTGACTTGAGATAGAATAAAGGAAACTTTCCCAGCAAGAACTTGTGTTTATGAGTAATTCAAAACACTACAAAATATTCTAGGGAGTTTGTGATTTATGCTATTTGCCCCAAAGGAGAAATAGGTTATAATTAAAAATTGAAATAATGCTTTAGAAACTATGTGCTCAGCTTCTTTCAGGTGGATAGCACATAATATTGGTATTTCAGTCAGTCCATATACTCTTATGACTACTGTGGGAAAACAGACAAAGAGAAATATCATATCTTCCTTTAAGTCTTAGTCCTTGACCACATGTAGGCTCAACAGAAACACAATTATTGCTACATAAGCCTTTTTCATTCTTTATCTTTTCTTACATTGATGTCAATGATTGTTTTCATTAATTTTTCTCATTTTTCAAAGTTTACTAGTAACTGTGAATTACTATATTGAGCTCTGATGTTTTTCAATATGGTGGGTTGCACTATTAGACCTAGAGGTCTGAGTAAAATATGATATAATAAGAATTTGGCCTACTGAGTAGAGTGATCCAGAAGCACAACACTTTAGAGTGCTAAATTTTATTTTTTAAGCACAAAAGCTATTTAAGTCTCTTCTCAAAGGAACCTTGTAATATCTTGGGGCCTATACTAACTTGTGTTATGCCATTTTCTACTAAAGTAAAAATAGCAAGAGAGAGTTAATAATAGCTATTATTATGGTCCTGATCCCAAATTAGCTTTCTTCATATTAAGACACAGTTCTAGAATGCTCTAAAAAGTGTTTCAGGTTTTGGTATTCTTACTTTATCACATTTTGTTAGGGAAAGGGAAAAAAGTAGAAGTAATTATTTGTTGCATTTCAATAACCAAGAATTTATTTAATATGAAAGTCTGTACTATTGTTTAAGATCAGTTGATGGTACTTCAGTCATGTACTGTAAATTGTACTCTCTTCTTTACTTGATCAACCCTTGCAATCTCTATATAGTGTCATATAAGTTGCTTAGTTATGTTTTATAATTTTTAAGATTACATATCACACATAGTATTTTATTTTTATTAATTACTTTTAGTAGTTCTTGAAATATTAATGTTATTAAACAATACAGGTTTTTTAGTTCAAACTTTGCATTTTAGTTGGCACAGAAATGAAAAATGCTATGCTGCTGAAGTTGTAATTTGTCTAGATGAACCACTTATAATTTTTGTCAACAAAAGCAAACAAGCTCTATCTTGTCTGCTTGTCCTCTCATAAAAAAAAAAAATTCTATCCTTTGAATAAATATATTAGCTTCATTTTAAATTTCAAAGTAAATCTTTGTTTTGCCTGACTTTTTTTTTCATTATGTGCACATAAAAAGAAAAGCTGAAAATAGTCTAACTTTTCCTTAAAGGCTTCTGTAAAGATCATTTCTAGTTTATGAAATGATTATAAGAATAACAAAACAATGAAAAGTGTGATTTTCTTCTTAAAGGTTTACTACTCAGGCAATGATTTATGGACACCATTGTTCCTTTTGTGATGCTGGCATTTTATACCATGTCAATGCTTCAAACACAGCCTTCATCTTTTTCCTGCAAGTGCTGTGGAAGTGGAAAAGTTAATGGATGACAGAGCTCTGAGTTTCAAAAATGTTGGCTTTTCACCAGTAGGTAATTGCAGGTCTAGAATAGAGCTTGCATGCAAATAAAGTTTAAGATCAACTCCTTCATATGACAGTGGTACTGCTGAGGTGATGGACTAAAGGATGTACTGGTAAGGTCTTCCCAAGAACCAAGAGAATGAAGCTTTTGAAAAGTGATATATTCTTTTGACTTCCTCCACCAACATTTGTTTGCGGGATTTTTGGGGTTTTCTTAAAGGAAAAACATTAGCTCAATATTCAAAAAGGAAAAGGATATCAACTCCAGCGAACATTTAATCTCGGAAATTTTGATCAATACTATTTTTCTTTTAATTAACAGAATTATTATTTGCCTTATGCAATGATTTTCATTTGGTATATGGGTTTTCTGACCATTTTATAATGACTGCTTTTTTTTCTGATTTCCTGTCAAGATTTCCAAAGCTCAGGTAGGATAGTGTAGTGGTATTCAATCGCTGATTTGAGATTTGGTTCACCAATTGGAGAAGAAAGTTTCCTGCCTG